TCAGGCTGGTCTCAAACTCCTGAGCTCAAACAATCCACCCGCCTCGGCCTCCCAGAGTGCTAGGATTACAGGCGTCAGCCACCACGCCTGGCCTCATTTTACACTTTTATATTTTTATTCTTTTAAATCTCTACTATATATCATACCATGTACTTTTCTTTAAACCACATACTTTTTATAGGGAAAAAATTTATGTATAAAATTATTGCTTCTTCTTTCAGTGGTCACATGTGTTTTACATATTATAATCAATGTGCATATATATATATTTTTAGCTCACATTTCATACATATATTTCTATATAATGTAATTTACATAATTACCATTGTCTTACTATCTCTTAATTTACTTTCATTCTGTCATTATTGACCATTTGGGTTCTTCATGTTTTGCATTTCTCAGTAAATTATAAACATTTACACTAATTTTTTATTAACTTCTCAAGATATTTCTAGATTGGAATTATTAGATCAAGATTTTATAAGCCTTTGTTACATTTTGCCAGATTATTCTCTAGAAGAAATGAATCCATTTATAATGTCATCAGCAATGGATACTTAAATTTATTTCTCTTCTCTGCAACCCCACTTTAAGTTGAACTATATGGAATTATCATTTTTGTAGCTTAAAAATGTTTGATTAGTCTGGATGTGGCGGCTCAAGACTGTAATATCAGTGTTTTGGAAGGCTGAGGCAGGAGGATTGCTTGAGGCCTGGAGTTCCGAGACCAGCCTGGGCAGCGTGGTGAGACCCTGTCTCTACAAAAAAATTTTTTTAAAAGTTTGATTGTCAACAATTCTGTATGATTCCATCTAACATTATTTTATAATTTATTTTTCAAATTTAGCAAATTTGTAGTAGTATTTCAAATTAAGCATTTCTTTTAATAACAATGAAATAGAATATTTTTCCCATATGTTGGTATATTAGTTACACCTTCAATAGATAACTTTGTTCTTGTTCTTAGGCTGCTTATTTATTGGAATCTATCTGTTGAATTTAATATTTTATATCAGTTCTTTATGTCTGAGAGTGAGCTTTTATTAATATTATCTGACTTGTTTTCTTTCTCTTCCTTTTATCTTTTTTTAACTCTTTATTGTAAGATTTTTTGGATTTCTTTTTAATTTCTAAAGATTACTCACTCAAGAGGGTGATGAATTTGGCTTTTTCTGTTACTTAGTGAATGCATATTACCAAACAGCATAGCTGTATTTGGCAGAGAAACCATTAAAATGTTTCTAAACCACTGACAACTAATTCACTGAATTTTTTTTCTCATTTAAAATTTTTTATTTTTAATTATTTAGGGTACATAATAGTTGTATATATTTATAGGGTACATATAATGTTTTGATATAGGCATACAGTGTTTGTTAATCAAATCAGGATAATTGGGGTATCCATCACCTCAGACACTTAATCATTTCTTTGTGTTAGGAACATTCCAATTCTACTCTTTTAGTTATTTTAAAGTATACCATAACTTACTGTTGAATATAGTCACTTTGTTGTGCTATCAGATATTGTTCATTCTATCTAACTATCTATGCTTTTTTTTTTTTGAGACACTCTCACTCTGTCACCCAAGCTAGGGTGCAGTGGCATCATCCTCCTGCCTCAGCCTCCCCGAGTGCTAGGATTATAGGCATGAGCCACTGCTCCTGGCCCTAACTGTATTTTTGTACCTGTTAACCATCACTACTTTATCCTCCCCTCTCCACTATCCTTCCCAGCCTCCGGTATCCATCATTCTACTCTCTGTCTCCATGAGATCAATTGTTTTAATATTTAGCTCTCATATATGAGCAAGAACATGCAAGATTTGTCTTTCTGTGCTTGGCTTATTTTACTTAACATGATGTTCTCCAGTTCTATCCATGTTGTTGCAAATAGCAGGATTTCATTCATTCTTATGGCTGAATAATATTCAGTTGTGTATATGTACCACATTTTCTGTATCCATTTATCTGCTGATGGACACTTAAGTTGATTCCAAATCTTGGCTATTATGATTCCCTCAAGTTTAACACTGATAATCCTTTAAATTTTATTTTGAGTAATGTGTCCTTAAAGATATTCAGTTTCTCTATACAGATAACCATACCATCAGAATTCTGGTACTAAGAATATCGGTGTTTAGGGTAAAAACGTACGTCACAGGAAGCTTGCTTATCATAAAATAACAGAAGGAAAAAGGACCTTTTATTTTTTCTTAGTATTGCTTACCTATTTTTGCGCAACATAGCCTTATTTTATCATCTGAGTTTGAAGCTATTAAGAAAGGTTTTGGGGGTTTTTTTACTTGGTATTATTTAGTATTATCACAGTGTGCTGACTTTGAGAGAAGGAACCCTTCAGCAGGAATACATTTTTGACAATCAGTAGAGGTTTTGAAAGTGTAGAGGACATTTGAATACCTGAATACTAGTTTTACATAGTAAATGTGTCCCTTAAAATTTGAGTCAAGTTTAAATGTATAATTTTTTAAA